AAAAACAAGGGCAGGGAGCGGAGTCAGAACCCACGCCAGGAGAGGCGGGGGGAAGCTGGAACACCAGATTTTCCTTTGCTTTTCTTTGGCTGCTTCTGCTTTTGCAGAAAGGTGTTTGTAATGCGCCGAGAACGGGTACAAATCCCAAAAAGGGAGAGGAAAAGAAAAGAAGCCGAGAAATAAAACACAGCGTTTGTTTGGGAAGGGACGTGGGTAACTCCTTTCCACAGCACCGGGGCCAAATTATGATCTCAGATATAAGCCGCATCGGGCTGGGGTCATGCCCTGACGCCGACGGGATGGGGAAGGGGAATGAGTCACTTTTGGAGGCCCCGGCGAGCGTCCTGCTTCGGGCTGTGGTTTTGTGAGAGCCGGGGTGGTGGTGGGGGCTGATTGCCTTCACTTGGGAAAAAGGCAAGAAACGACTCAGCTCCTTCGTGGTACCACGGAGCTGGAAAAAAGCATCCTCCGGCCAAGGAGCCCTCCCCGGGGCTACCAGGGTGGGGGGCATCAGGATCTGCTTTTGCAGCCGTGGGCATGGGAAATGTGATGGTGGGAGATCACGGGTGCTCTCTGAAGAGCCACGGACCCCCAAAATAACCGTGGGGAGATGTGGGAGAGGAGCGTGCCGAGCTACTGCGGTTTAGCCTTTCTCTGCGTGGGGGGAGCAAAGCTTTGGCCACCTTTTGTTTATTAAAAGGAGCCAAAGGACTGACCAGTTTGAGCTGGGAGAGCCTCGGCGGCTTCCAGTCCAGCCTGCTGGCATCGGAGTTAGGGCAGGTTCTGGCATTAACCCCTCCGTACCAGCAGCCAAATGTGAGGAGTGGGTCGGGGGCTGGTGCCGCTTCCCCCCCCCGGGGAGGTTTGTTTTCTGTGCCGTGCGTGCCACGGCGAAGCCAGGATCGCTGTGGCCTTTGGTGGCCGGGACAGATGCCGCTTGTCTTGTGTTTCCTTTGAGAAAAGCTTCCTCCACCCTTGGAGATGGACCCTGGGGGAGGGAGAAGATAAGGGAGCCCAGAACACAGCCTCATTGTGTGGCCGTGTTTTGCTCCCGGCAGCATCCCGGCTCCAAGGTGATGATGGGGAAGCCTCTCCGACGCCTTTTCGTAGGGCAGGATAAGGCTGGTGGGATGCACGACCGGTGGGACCCCCCGTCTTGCACAACCCAGGGGAGCTCCAAAGGATGGGAGCAGCATCTCCCCGTCACAGACTTGATTGGGAAGGGGGGAGGCACAAAATTAACCATCGCCCTGATGTCTACGGGAGCAGCGAGCACCGTCCCGGCGCTGGGGACCGATGCCAAGGGGAGGGTTTGCCGACCCAAGGGGCTGCTGGAGCCCTGTGCGGTGCTGGCATTTTCCCTGAATTCCCCGACGCTGCGGCCTGCAAAAGAAAGGGAGGTTTGTTAGCTGGGCGCGCTGTGTTTTGCCGAGCAGAACAATAAAGAGAAAGATGCTCACAATGGGAAATTGTGCTTCCTCCTCCCCGTGCGTTCCTCGGGGAGGTGTTGGATGGGGCGGG